TCCGGACGTTCGTCAGAAGTTCTGCCGGAACCAACCGAGAAGTCTAGGAGCTTGCCAAAGAAGCTCATCGGAACTCACCAAGAAGATCATCGTAAAGTCTAGGAGCTTGCCGGGAGTTCGCCAGAATATTGCCGAGAGTTCGTCGGATGTTCGCCGGAAGCTCACCGGAAGAGCAATTGACGCACTAGAACAAGAAGTACTGTAAATTATGTATTAATTATTGTATTTAGAGCATAAATTAAGTTAGGATTGGGAGGTGATCCCACTAACTTAATTAGGGGACAACTGGGCCCTTAACAGGGCTGAACTGGGCTAAAGTGAGCTACTAATTCAGCCCCTAAAAATATGGTCGGTGGTGGCACCGTCAGGGCCGGCGGTGGCACTGCCTAGAAGGCAGTGCCCCTAGATTTCTGGGAGGTGGTACCACCTAAACTGGGTGGTGGTGTCGTCGACAGCGGTGGTACCGCCCCTGCTCGGCGGTGGTACTGCCTAGTATCAGATCAGTGATGGTAGTACCGCCCAGTAACGACGGTGGTACCCCTAATACCCCGGATTTTGGAAATGTGACATTTTTTTGCTCCAATTTTAAAGCCATTGGGGCCTATAAAAACCCCACCCTTTTCTGCATAAAAGGGCATGAAAGTATTGGCTTAATCTTGAATTCTTGAGTTATAAAAGTGTTGTAAAAGTTAGAGTTCTCCTCCTTCATCTCTTAACCTTATAACCATCCAAAAAAGAGAAGTGAGACTTATAAGGATTATCTCTTAAACCCGGGAAAAAGAGAAAGTATTATAAAGAGGTGTTCGGTCTTCACCTATTGAAGGAATGCCTTTACTAGACGCCGGTGATCTCGTCGGATAAAGAATCTGAAAGTGGATGTAGGTCACCTTGACCGAACCACTCTAAATTTTGGTTTGCTTTTCATTTGTGTAATTTACTTTACTGCAAACCTCCTTGATCTTCTTTTACACTTTTACGAAAGCTTTCAAGTCCAACTTATCTCTGAAATAGATTGAATCGAAACCATTTTCGTCGGAATTGGTTTTAAACGAAATGAACAATTTTTTGAAATCGTGAAAGTTTTCCGCTGCACTAATTCACCCCCCCTCTTAGTGCCGTTCTTCATCCTAACACTTAGAATGTTCTATCCTTTTATAGGCAAGAGCATAGAGTCGTCTAGAAGAGTACTTACAATATTCATCCCATCAAAATTATCTTTTAAGAAATTCTATTGTAATTAGACTTTCTTTTTATTAATCGATAATCTTAAGTAAAATTTAATTAAATTTATAATATATCTTATTTAACTAGATAGGACAACACAATCTAATCTAACTCATATTATAAACTTTCTACATCATTATACAAATGTTTCAGAATTTTACAGATCCATGTCAAACTCACTAGTTCTCAGATAAAATTTTACGGATCCATGCGTCTCAAGAGTCATTTGAGATGGACTAGTTTTCGTTAATGCAAAGCTACACCACAAAACGTATAATTCTAAACTACAAACAATCTTATAGTTAGTAAATAGCTTTCTGACTGGAGAAGTGATTTCTAGCAATACTTATTCTTCCATTGAAGTTAGTAAGATCAACGGTGCAACAAGAAAACTGCAATGTTTTCCGTTGTGTTGAACTGTTAGGGAGAATCTATATCCATGTACTGGCTTTTTATCCCTTGATGGCACCAGCTAAAGACACCTCTTAGTGTGAATCTTAAGTTAATTCACATCTATCATCAAAACATCATATGTTATTTTCTTTCTTGAGAGTAATGATCTCAGTTCATTTGCTAACCAAGCATATTAAATTGGCTGTTCTCATAGTGACCGTCTTAACAGAGCTTGAAGTAGTATATCCATTGTTTACCGTTTGGCTGAACTGCTAACTAGGAAATTAAGAGATTATGAAGATATTTAATGTATCTGTAGCTTCATTAATTTTTCCCTTGTTCCTATGTTTATGCAGAAAAAAAATGTTGTAGCCAATAATTGGTGATTGAATTTTATATACATAAGAAATGCTTCCATGTTGACAGTAAGCTCAACCATTTATCAACCAAGTTTATCTTGTTTCTACAGAAGTACAATTATGCTTACAGTGGTCTACCTGACACTTATCTCCAATGCAACAAACTAATAATCTTCCATGAATAGATGTAGTGAGATTGCAAATTTATGTCTGATAATTTAGGCAGGAATTCATTTAATGCACATTACAAATATACTCTTTTCTAACTATCAGAGTTTGAAACCTAGTTTCTCCATATGGCTATCAATTAAGAAAACAAATATCATAAGAAATTACAAGACATAATTCATTCATTCAAAAGGAACCATCTTTAATCGACAACCTCAGTCCTATATATAAGCCGACCCCAAATAATTAAAACATTACAACTTGTTGTTGTATTTATTTAGATGATGAAATTGGAGTGATGGATATGAGGTCAGATCATGATGGCATAATACATATTTTAATAATTTTTTATCATAAAAATAAATAATCAATAAGGACAAAATGGCGATGCTATTGATCGAAAACATTTCTTATCCTAAGTTGGCACACTCACAACCCAGGTCATGAGAAGGTATTTGAGATGGTTCTTTGGGATATATATATATATATTTGCACAACAAGTCAAGCCAGTGTTGCCACCCATTCATTAGTGACTCGTTGCATGAAGATCTGAACCGAACTCAGATATCAGAATATTTGAGCCAGAGAAAAAGTAAAGAAAGTGGTGACCTGAGAGGATGTTCCCTAGCTCCAGCTTACATATACACACCACTGAGCATCTGAAGGAGAGGGTGAAATGGATAGGTTATCATAAACATTAAGCTCAGATGCTGTAGTTAACAATGGCTAAAACCTTTTAAAGAACTGAAGAAGTCGTCAGAGGTTATGTTGTTGTTGGAGGCCACCAAGAATTTTAGTAAAACTAAGCGCTAATGTGTCTTGAAATGGGTGTCACAATGACAATGATCAACATCTAAGCATTTGACATACCATGTTTTAGGTGTGATCGAAGAGTTGGAAGAAGTCGTCTCTTTCTTTAGCTGAATATAGAGTTCTGAAGGATGCAAAGAGACGTGGAAGCAAGGCATCAGATGGATTTGGATTTGTATACTAATCTAGAAAAGCAATATAAAGTGAACGGCACCAGTAAAAACTAAGTATAAACCCAGTGAAATTTAATTATTAATCCAAAATACTTATGCCCAGATTAATGGTAATAGATCCATTCAAGCTATCTTCCACTTTTGATATATGAATAAATTGCTTTTAGCCTATTCATAATTCTTTCCTATTTGAACTATTGACCGCACTCATTTACTATATCGGTCCTCATACTATTATCATGATCTAACCTGATAGAATAATTAATTCATTAAGTTTTATTGAGTTAGGTATTATGGTTGCAAAACACAAGTGGTAGTAAGGGGCAAAATAGATTCTGTACTACAACCTAAACAAGGCAAAACAAAGTGAGAACTAAAAGACAATATATATATATATATATATATATATATATATATAT